GCACCTGGGTTGTTTCCAACTCCTTACTATTGTGAACAAAGCTGCAATAAACATGGGTGTGCATATATCTGCTTGGATGTGGGTTATGGTCTCTTTAGGGTATATTCCCAGTATTAGAATTGCTGGGTCATATGGTATCTCTATTTGCAACTTTTTGAGAAGAGCATGTTTTAAGTGCCTGTCTTGAGTCAATTTCTGAATTTATAGTGAAACTATTGGGCTGAGTAGGAATTTTCAAGACTATAAATCTTAACACGAAGAGACTGCCACACTCCCCACCCCTTCACCTCTGCCCTAAGGATGTGCTGGTGAATTTTAACTTTTGGTTAGAAGTCCAATAATTAGTCCACTGCACCACTAGGACTTCTTTCTCAAGTATACTGTATCTGATATTTTCTTTATTTAATTATTGTATGTGGGGTCAATAGGGAGCTGCACTGTTTACCCAAAGTCCCAACCAGTTTACCCAAAGTCCCAACCATTCTGGTGGTTTGAATCTATTACCTGCTCCATGGGAGAAAGATGAGCATCTCCTGTGTGATTTACAGTCTCAGAAACTCAATGTTGAAGGTCAGCTACTATTTGGCCTTGACTTAATAGCAATAAAAGAGAGAGAACTCTCCAACTTTAAAAAAATGTGAGGTTCTCTGTTTGATCCCCCTCTCCCCCAATTAATTCTCAGTGATCTCATTCAAAAAAACTTTTGGTAAAGAAAATGTAACTATTACTCTAACTTCTTTTCAAAATTCAAAATATTTCAAAGAAAAATTCTATGTGATGAGTAAGAGTATATGAAGTGATTTATTGATACTGGTTAAGATCCATTATATACAGGTAGAAACCTTCAAAATTGTACAAAGAACCATTAAGAATATTGATAAGACAGTTTTATAGACAAAACAACAACTAGAAAATAGTTTAAACATACACATTATATAATTATGGAAAAAACATAAATGGTTCAACCAGATAGATTTCAAGGCTATTAAAAGTCTGCTATGCAAACCTTAAGTTGAAAAATGTATTCAATGGGGTTACATGGCTTTAAAAAAATCAGGTATAATGTAAAAATTAAGTGTTGGTTGGTTTATTTTTTTTTCCCTCACAGCAAATGAGATAGTAACCAAGACAAATTTTTACTCCAAATCTATACATTTTGAAAAATAATTTATATGTCTTGCACAAAGAAAGAAAATTGAGAATGTTTACAATGTTTACAGTTCTGTAAACTTGGTCTTTCATGACCCACAAACATCATCAGTTTTAAAGGTAAAAAATTGTGCGATCAGAAAGAAACTGTTCCCTTTAAGATACGACTGTATCTTCACTGGCTTCATACCTGAGCACCAAAGCTGGAGTTCTAAATGCCATCTTGGAAAGAAAGCTATTCTGAAAGTAAGCAAGAAATCAAAACTAGTTTGTTATCATCTGAAGAATTAGGCACCGAGACGGAGATTATCTCCTTAGAAATGCAAAGTTAACAGCAGAGAAGTTTCGATTAACTGAGCAGCTGGCAGATCTCCTTGTGAACACAGCAAAGGAAATCCACGTAAGATGAGCCTCCATAAAGTCCTTTGTCTTCTACCAGAAACTGTCGGAAAATCATTTCAGGCTGTTCTCGTTGCTTTACTATTGTGAGCTGAAAAAACAAAGACCAAGACAATTGTTTGTAAAAGCTTTCTCAGTGCAGTTCAATTGTGTGTGCTTCAATTCACAAAGTATCACAAAATGACCACTATGTGTGAAGACATGGAAAATGATGTGAAAGCATCTGCCTTCTAATGTGGAGAGAGATGGTGATCCCGAAACTACAAAGCCCCAAATATACCATCGTAAACAGCAAAAGTCAAGCATAAGTAAGGTATTACGGGCAAAGCGTCTCATGCCAGTGACTATCACTTAGTGACAGGGTTGTTGGTTGTGTCTTTAAGGCATTCCTGAGAGGTCAGGGGAGAAGGGTCAGAGACTATTCCACAGTGGAATGCCATGTACTAAAACAGGTAATATGATTAGCATGTACACTAACAATCTTCAAAAGGCAGTGGGAGAGACAGACTAAAGCAATAAGAAGTTTGGATTTTGTAGAAAACACAATTCTGTGAAGGTGAGAAGAATGAAGACAGACAGTGAATGAGCAGCTGCTTTGGGAAAGATGAGAGATAGGAGCCAGGCAGCTACGGGAATCCAGGAGGAAGGTGAGCAGGGTCTGGATTGGGGTAGCGGAGGAGCAAAGACCTGAGAGGTGCAGAAAGGTGGAATGGGCAGGGGGAACTCCTATTTTTCTTTCTATGCAGAGCTCTAGGGCTACAGTGCATACTAGTTAGCAGCTACAGCTGGCATGCTGAGCACTGCAAATGTTCTAATCCGAGATGAGATTCACTGTCATTTTAAGTGGATTTCTAATGGATCCAACGGTTATCTAACACTTAGTATGAGAAAGAAAATGTTCTTAGAAAAAGTCAATATTTATACTGATTATATATAGAAACAATGATAATGTGGCTTTTTTGTTGTGTTAAATACATTATTACTCAAATGCATTTTTACTTGTTTAATGTGGTTTTAAGAACATGTAAACGTGCACCCGTGGCTTGCATCATTGGCGAGGGGGGAAGGTTCATCATAAACCTTGGGGCCCTCCTTAGGCTTCCTCCCTGGGGCATACGATTGCATTCGACTACTGACCTGAAGATGGACACTTTGCTACCACACAGTGGTATCACAGGAAATGATTCAGTGACCTGCTTCAATAACCTCATAACCAAGAAAACCCTATAGAGCAGTTCTACTTGCTACACATGGGGTCACCATGAGTTGGGGATCAACTCAATGCAGTGGGGTTGGGTTTGGTTTTGGGACTGTCTCACTTATTCCTATCAGAGGAGTTAAGAGTAGATGGTATGATTTGTCAGGATTTGGTATTTACTAGGCTGTGAACCTCACAGGTCGCTGTGTCGGCCGCCTGGAGAATTAAGAAGAGTCGGGGCATTCCATCCATTTTTCCAAGAGAAGGGCCTGGAATGACCAGCTTCTCTGGGCTGAAGCTGTGGTGGTACATTTAATTTTTTTTTACATTTATGCTGGTTTACATACAAAGTTCATACAGTTCGTACACACACTGTTTTTCACATCAGATCTTTCCCCTTTCCTTTACCCACCCTTCCCTCTACCCATCAAAATTTGTGACCCTATAATTAACCCTCCCCCCACCCGTTGAATCCTCGTATTCCTTCTTTAATAGCTAGATTCAATTTTGAGTGGAAAAACCTGTGCCCTACTTTTGCTTTTTAGTTATCAAGGAAAAGAACTGTGTCATCACAATTTGCTTCTTCTATATTACATTCCTGCCTGGGCAATATGCTCTACACTATGTCTTATAATAAGCAGCCTTGGTCACATAGTGCCTTATGCATTGGTTAGCTGACTGAAAAGTCAGTGGTTCAAATCCTCCAGCTGCAGATGAGGCAAAGATTTACAGCTGCGGAAACCCGATGGACGGTCACCGTCAGTCAGGAATCGACTTGACAGCAGTGGGTTGGGTTTTTTAGTTGTTTTGCCAAATAGTGACAATCTAACAACCGCTACTAACGCTACCACTGCAGTGTAACCACATCCACGAGGATAAATATGACTGCGTGAGATGGATTTTGATGTTACTGCTAGGGACCGAGAGGGGGAACTGGAACAGCTACACCAAATTGTGAAAGGTGCTCAGGCAGGTTTCATTCTGGTATGAGGAAAACATAACCTCCTGAGGGAAATATTTCAGGAGTTTAAGATTGGGCTTCAAGTAAGCCTCAATAAAGGCTCTTTTTTGTTTTAGGTTTTATGCACCTTCTTTCAAATGGCAACATGACTCTGCTATTACTTGGATGAGCAACAGAGGCGAGAGTCTGACTACAGTGATACAGAATGAGAAATTGTAGAGAGAAGAGTTTGGGCCTCCAATGTCTTTAGGATTTAATTTCTGTAGAAATTAATGGGCAGAAGTTCATCTTGCTCATCTGTGGGATGTTTTCTCTTGCTATCATTTGCTTGAGTTATTTTCTTAGTTTCAGGTGAAGCACACCTTCTTTTATAATGAGTGGCTGGTCAGAATTAAAGATGGAAAAGAAAGTAGGGAATGAAATTTAACAGTGGGAGATATTTAGCCTTAAGGTAAATCCCATTTTAGCATTTGCTTCTCTAAAGACAAAAGTGGAATCTCCCATCACAGAGATAATAATACAAAGCATAAGAGTCTTGTGCAAGTGGCAGGTGGCTTGTTTTGATACAGAAACAGCTTGATCATCAAGAGGTACACTAACAAAAAACAAGGGGCAAAAAGGTTCTCGAGTGGTTTGGGGATCTTTTATTTCTCTTCTTTATATGTCTATAAAACTTTTTCATCGTCATCCAGCTGGAACCAACTCAGAGCTGACTTTCCAGCAAGTTTCTGAAGGCTGTAAAATGCACTGCTCATCTATCCTATGGACCAGAGCTGGTGGATTTGAACCATCTGCCTTTGGGCTGGAAGAACAAGTCCTTACTCATTGGGTCACCAGAGCTCCTAGCCTTTCTACAGGGAGGGTTATATGTTCCTATAGAGTAGGGGAGACTACTGAAATGACCACTGCTGGTCTCTTGTTCCACTTTCTATGTGCTCTCTTCACTGAAGGACTGGCGAATGCAAGTGGTCTGAATGTGATACTCTCTGGATCATATTACCAGTGAGCCTAAAGAATCACCGCACATTTGAAGCTTGCCTCAAAACTCATTCTCTTCTCTTACTGTCTACCTCCAAGGAAATAGCTAAATAATGAGAATGATTAGGAGAGTCCAGAAATAACATATTGACAAGGAGGGAACTGTAAAAGGTCAAATGAAGGACCAGAAAGGCAAAGAAAAAGAAGAGAAAAGGGAAGAATCAGGTGACCGTGGTGTTTAGAGAGGTAATAGAAGAGATTTTGAGAAAATGAGAGGCATTAGATTTTGTAAATGCTGTGGAGGGATGGGGAAGCAGTGGGTAGTCACTGGGCAGAGCCAGAAAGAAGAGAAGGAGCTCGCCAGCCATTCTATGGAAGAAGTAGGTAGCAGTCGGCTTCCAAAAATTTACAGCCTTGGAAACCCCACAGGGAAATTCTGTGCTTTCCTATAGGGTCACAATGAGTCAGAATTGATTAGCTCAGGAAGAGTGGGGATTTTTTGTTCATATGGAACCTGTTGGTTTGCATCTAAGTACTTAACCACTGCACCACCAAGGATTATTTTTACAGAACTTGTGCTCCTTAGAAGTTAAAAAAACCTTACAAATAACAGATGTATTTGCCTGTGGCACAAAAGACAGGATTTTTTTTTTAAAGCAGGCAAAATAGCTTTATTTTATCATATAATTGCTTATATTTTCTTTACATATACTACTCAGTTTATTCTCACTCCTTTTTTTTTTTTTTTAATACTCAAAGCTGGCATGATCTTGATAAGAGATTAATGGGCCAATTCTGTGAAAGGAGAGCAGAGGCAAGGTTTAGTTTTAGGATTCCCTTGAAAGAAAGAGTGGCCTCTGAATATAAGGACAAAATCCCCTTTTCAGTCTCTTCTCTGTATATGGGACCTACTGTAGACAGGCAGTTGCTGTAACCAGGGACAGAAGTGGACCATCATGACATGTGGTCCAAATTCTAAAGGTCAATGAGTCCATTTTCAGACTGTGTTTCATGGGATCCTGAGATTTCATTATCCAATCTAGGCATTCAGGGTATCCACTGGAAAACAGACTTAGTTGGGGCCCTCACTGCTCTTATTTTATAAAAATGAACCCAATATGTGTTACGTGATGTAAAACCAGTTCTGGAAAGTCTCCCCCTATGGTGCTAGATATTAACTGTAAAGCAGTTCACCAGTTCCACCGACCTAAACCCTATTTGAATTCAATGTTTGCAAGTGTAAGTTGCTTTCAAGTTTAAGAATGTGAATTTCGATTTTCATAACAGCTGGGTTTCTGGGAAAGGGTGTTTGCCTAGATATCATAGTTCTTATAGAGCTCTGCTTCCAGGGGACTGTTCTATGAGCAGTGTCACAGATAAGAAGGTTCAAGGTCACCATCTGCTCCATAGGAGAAAGATGGGTAATATCCTCTTGTGTGAATAACTGCCTCTAAAAACCCACCAGAGGGTCAGCTATGGGTCAGTTCTGACTCTATGAGACACAACAGCAACTACACACACTCACACACACACACACATAAACCATCATCATCAGTACACTGCAAATGCTAGGAGATCCTATTATCAAGCTTAGAAAGGAAGAATGATGAGTAAGTATCTAGAATGCTTAGAAGTACATAGGCTAGAACAACACAATTTTTCAGGGAATTTCAAACAAAATTTGTAAAAAATGTATGTTGTACATGTTCTGAATGACAGCCCTTTAGTCAGGGAAGATTAGGACCTGAAGGAAAAGTAATTTTAAAATCTATTATTGATATAAATTTCAACCATTAAGAGAATCTTCATAACTACCAAGTAAATAATAAAACAACCTGTGGAGACATCTATGTGTCTGTGACGAATAATTAGATGACATACTTAAAGGACAGTGGAAATTTCTGTATCAATTACTTTATAAAAATAGAAGACATATTTTTAAAGAACTCTTTAATGAAAACAAAGTGTTCAAATAGGGACAAAACCAAAAAGTCTTTAAGAAGTTATATGTATAAATCTTGTCCTTACCTTCATTGAATACGGCCTCTTCTGCTGAATAATACTCATAATCATTCTGAGTTTTTGAGAATATGGACTTCCCAACTCAGGCAGTAATGTCTAGATTTTAAAATAAAATCCACATTTGCATTTCAGTACAATTTGTAATATTTAGATAGAAGCAGAGATACAAAATTATTAGTATTTTAAAGTTAAAGTAGCACTTTAAAACCATGTGCAATTTTCATTCATTTATCTGAAAACCTAAAATGTGGAACAATCATTATTGACATGAATCAATTATCTGTGTTTCAGAAGGAAAACCTTCTGGAATTTGGCACATGCACATCATTGGAAAGACATGGTGGGGGTCTATTTTGTTCAAAAAAACATCTCTGGGCCATTCTTCAGGTTTTTCAAGATGTGTATTTCAACACAATGTATGTGAGAAAAGAATGCACACTTTATTCCACCCAGAACCCTGAGGCATCACCCCATTTCTAAAACACCACAGTTCCAACATTAAAACAAACCACCACATGCTGACTGCTCAAGGAAAGTACAGCCTCAAATTTCCCTGAAATCTAGTTAATAGTCTGCCAACAACAATCCAACTGCACAGAGCCTCTGGGGGATGTGAAGGACCTGGGCTTAGATGTCATCAGTTCAGACAGAGCTAAATGATAACGTTTACAGCTCAGGCAAGAGAAAATACACCATCTGTAAATCAGCCACAGAATAGGTGAGTTTGGATGTTTTACCAAAAAGTGACAACTCAGGAAAAGATTATTATTAGGGTTAAGAGAGAACAAAGAAAATACGGTAACAAAGATCTGGAGAAGAAACAGGAAACGGAAACCAAGCAGCAAAGAAATCAGTCTATGCCAACAACTGACTCATCCAGCAGGAACCAAGGAAGTTCTACAAAGGCCTGTCTCTGCAAAGAACACAGGTCTGTTAATGAGCTCAGGAGGTGCCAAGGTTATCGTAACTAGAAAATAAGGGGGAAAGAATGTCTGTTCTTGCTTCTCTCTGTTGGGGACAGACCCACCCTCTTGGAAGTGTGTTATTTTTTACCCAGCAAAGTTTACTTTGTCTTTAGCTATTCCTCTGCTTATGATCCTTTTTCATCTTCTAACATTAGGGCCAGAAAACTCTCCATACTCCAAAGTTCATCTGGAAACTCCTGCTACTTTTAACAATTAGGACCAATATAACTGAAGCAGAAAATTCATCTTAACATCCACACCCCATTCCTCAGTACCTTTTTTTTTTAAAAAAAAAATTTATTTCACAAATAATACATGTTTCCCAAGCAGGGATATGGTGGCTTAGTGAGTAAAGACTTGCACTGCCAAATCAAAGTTAAGTGGTTCAAATCCACCAGCTAGCTCTGTGACAGTAAGATGAACAATGCCCTCTGATTTCATTTACTGCCTCTGAAAATCCACTGAAGGATCATCTATGAGCTGGTTCTGACTTGACAGATGGTAACAACAACATGTTTCCAAGGAGTATTGATGGTGCAAATAAACAGTATATGCTCAGCTCCTAACTAAATGACTGGCTGTTTCAACCCATCTAGAGGCTCCAGAGAGAAAAGATCGGCCATCTGCTCCTTTGAGGACTGAAAAACCAAAACAAAACAAAATGTGTTGCCACTGAGTCAATTCTGGCTCATAGTGACTTTATAATTAAATAAATAGAATAAATAAAACAGTAATAAATAAAATAAACGTTGTTGTTGTTGTTATGTGCTGTCGAGTGCAACTCACAGCGACTCTATGTACAACAGCCCTAAACTCTGCTCTGTCCTGTGCCAATCGCACCATCTCCAATACACCCATCCCAATTGCCCCAGTCACTGAATCAATCCACCTCACAGAGGGCCTTCCCCTCCTGCATGGAACAGTTTACTGTTTCTAGCTTATTTATCTTCAAACTAGGAGTATGGGTGGAGCACACAGGTAAGTGCTTGAAAATTAGCTGAAAGATGTCTGTTTTGTACCCACCCAGAGGAGCCTTGGGAGACAGGGATGTTGATCTATTCTCAAAAGCTCACACAGCCTTGGAAACCCTACAGAATAGTTCTATCCTGCATACATGGAGCCATCAGGAGTCTGAATCCATGTAATGACAATTAACAAGAACAATCTTAGAATTAGTCTCTTAATGTAATATGCATACCTTTACAACTTTGAAATTCCTTTAAACATATACTGCTTACATTCCTAATGAATATACAGTTCTGTATAAATGGCCCTCCTATCTATTGGTTGTTAAGCATCTGTGAGCTGAACAGTGAGTAAGAACAAGGGAAGAATCAATGCCTTTGAGTTGTAGTGTTGGAGAAGAGTAGTAACTATCCCAAGGACTTCCAAATGAATAAACAAAGAAGTTTTGGAGGAAGTGCAACAAGGGAACTTCTTAGAGGCAAACATGGTGAAGCTTCACCTCACATATTTTGGGCATATTGTTAGGAGGGGGCTGCTCTGTGGACAAGGAATCCAGGCTTGGAAAGAAAGCTGGAGGGTCAGCATAAGAGAGGAAGGCCCTCAATGAGATGGATGGACACAGTGACTGCAGCAATGGGCTCAAAAAGATCAGAAATGTTGGGGATGGCAGAGGCCAGCACAGGGTTCAGATCTCTTGTTTATGAGGTCACTATTTGTCCTACTCAATTCGACAGCATCTAACAACAGTCAATGTAATTTTAAATTTTAATCCCGTTCCTTCTTCCCAGATGCTATGTACCTCTAAATTGTTCTGAAATTCTATGCATTCTCTCGTAAGCTGGAGGATAAAAATAGCCTTATACTATCTTGACATATATGAAGTTTCAGGGCACAAACCATGTACTACATGTTCCTCATACGGAACAAACCATCAAATTAGGTTAGACTTGAGTCCTCACAGCAATAATGATCATGCAACAAAAATCTGCAATGGAAGGTTTGCAAGAAATACAGTTTCTCTAACAGCTTCATCTGACGTACTTTGGACATGGTGCAAGGTGGGATCAGCCCTTGGAGAAGGATGTCATGCTTGGGAGGGTGGAGGGACAGCGCAGGAGAGGAAGACCCTCGAAGAGATGGACTGATTCAGTGACTGGTGTAATGGGAATAGGTGTGTCAGGGACAATAAGATTGGTACAAGATAGAGCAGGGTTTAGGGATCTAAACCTACATAGGGTCTAAACACACATAGTTGTGCATAGGGTTGCTATGAGTCACAGGCGACTCGATGGCACATAACAACAACTAGTTTTTTTCTCAGAAACCTAAAATATAAAGTCAACTGTATTCAATTCCACATTAAAAACTAGAGTATGTTTGTAATGTTATGACTGTAATAGAGGACAGAATACTCTGTTCTTGTGGGATTTTAGAACTCATTGATCTCTTGTCTGCAGCAGAACACTCATGATGATTCCTGTCCATTCTTCTGAGTATCCCCCTCAGCACCAGGAACAAGCTAGAGGATGCCCCCGCAGAGATAAGCCCGGGTTCATTCCTCACCTCTGCCAATTACTAACTGAATGAACTTGTCAATCTGTAACATGTTGGTCATAACAATCAAGGCAGTGCTTTATCAGGAAAATGAAGTGAAGTACTAGATTTCAAGCCCTTAGAGCACAGTGACTCACTCACTCACAGACGTTTGCAGAGTTGAAACTGACTCAAGGCTGATTTTAAAATGGGTTTTCAGGGTGCGTCCCTGGCCAGCCACTGTGGGCTCAGAGGCAGAGGAGAAAAGATTGCGAGGTGCCGCAGCCGCAGCCCAGAGATAAAGAACGAACCAGTATAGACGAGAACGCCCTACAAGCTGGCTAACTGAAGGCTGGCTGTGGTGAAACTTACCACTCAGTTAACATACTTCATACAAACAGGAAAACAAATGAGTCCTGTTCCAACACCACACCTTCTCTAACTGTCCCCGAATGTGTAATCTGTCTGCAAACATGTTTTTTTCCCAGTCAGTCTCCCTTGTAAGCATGTTTTCTGCTATCTATGTGTAAAGGGAGCTTCATGGCTTGGGAAACTATGTATCCTCTGTCGACAAGAATTTCCTGAGGATTTCCTGGACAACATACAAAAATCACCTTGTTATCACCTGAGAAACCCAAGGCTGCAAGTAGAGGAAATGGAGACTATGCATGATATTATGAAGGAAGACATGGGTGGTGGCAGTATGTACTAGCAGAGAGGTGGAAGATGCTTTTTCCAAAGATAAAAAGAGTACTGAAATGTTAATTGTTGGGTTTTTGTATGTTGCTGATCTTGAAAACATGGTTCAATATAGGATAAATGAACATGGACTTAGCAGGAAGATTAAACAGGATATAAAAGATAGACCCAAGAAGAGAACAGCTGGACTTAGACTGGACGATGCCTCTAATACCATAAATCTAACAAGAGAGAGCTCTGGTGTTGGAGCGGACAGTGTATTGGCACAGAGTGGAACTTCCTTTCAGTCTCCAGTAATGTCTGCAGTTAGGCCCTTAACATCAGTAGATAGTCAGTTAACAAGCCCTGCAACACCATCCCCTGATGCAAGCATTTCTCTGGAAGACTCTTTTGCTCATTTACAACTCAGTGGAGACAACGGAGCTGAATGGAGCCACCATGGAGGGGAGGGGGGGCGGAAGGATAAAATCAAGAATCTCCTTCTTCAGACAGGATACCAGCACCAGACACCTCCATAGATGAAACCTAGTCATATAGCAGTAGTGACAGTGAAGATATATCTACGCTTATTGCACAGAGCTCCTTGACCCAACAGAGACTTCTGGCTCCTAATGCAAACCAGACAGGATCTGATCGATCAGATCTGTCTGGGACTGACTGATCAGTAACGGGGTGGAACAATGAGTGTCAGGTCTAGACGGCCTGATGGACAGTGCACAGTAACTTAAGTTTAAATAAAGTCGTCAACTCATGCTAAAGGTTGAAATGGCTCTCCGTAAATTTCTGCTACATAACATTATAACATCCCTTGTCGGGCATTGTGGGGTGGGAAGGGGGATGGGAAGGATATACCTGTAATTAAAATGTCTTAACATGTCTCTGTTGAGAAATTTACTTAAAGAACTTGGGTATTCATAGTTGACAGTTGTTTAGTACTAATCCAGTTTTCTTGAGGTTTCTTTATTTTACAATATTTTTTTGGTTAAATTTGTTTAGTTTTTTTTGGCCAGTGTATCTTATCTGTACATTAATAGTTTTCATCTGATTCTTGCACTGTATCTTATTTTTCTGTATGGATTAACATAAAATCATTACTAAAATGTGGCACTGATGAGATGTTTGGTATCAGTATCAGCAGGAAGCTTAATTGTTTTTCTTTTTTTTTTAAAGAAAATATTTTATTTATAATTTTTAAAACTATGGTTAAATGTTTAAAGTTTATATTCCATGTTAAAAGACATTTCTCATTAATTAATCTGATCCAAGAAAATTACAAAAACACTTAAGAATTCTTTACTGAGTGGACATTTCCCACCATATGTTCTTTGCCATTTACTTGACATGCTTTTGGTCACAGCTAACCTAGCAATCAATAAAATGACAGGCAGTATGTGCCGAAATAAGATATAGGCAGGTCCCATCATCCTTTCTAAAGAGCAACTGATTACACTGTGGAACCTTATTATCGTAAGAACAGATGTGAATTTGGAATTTTAAACTAACAACCATTTTATAGTAGTTTCCAAAATAGAAATGTGAAGAAAACAGCTAGTAAGTTTCAGAATCTTCTCTGTAAACACACAACATTGTTTCCATAGGCTTTGCTGTCTAGTCCTTGTAATTTGAAGTTTCCCTTCACCATCCTTTTCTTTTTGACTACAAACTTTATAATTTAATAAATAATACAGTTTATCACAAAAAAGAGTGCGTTTCAGAAGCTGTGAACTGCATGGGAAAGACTGGTCATCTTCTTTTTCTTACAGCAGTTGGTAGATTCAAGCTGCCAGAAAGGTAACATCTTTGGGTCAGCAACCCAATTCTCAGGATGAGGCAATGGACGTTCACAGTAAATGAATAGGAGAGTTCATATAGTGTGGTTTTATGATAGTTTGATGCAAATAATTTTAAACCAGCTTATTATTCATCAAAACCAGGAAATAATCTCATAGTTAACAGAAAAACCATACGTTACAAACTTTTACATTGTAAAGAGTTGCATATCAATAAAACAATTTATATATTGTATACTAACACAAAAATAAGAAAAAAGAGACTTGCCATATCTGTGCTGATATGTGCAAAAGATGGCACATTAAATATTCCTTGGATCACTTCCGGTGGGCTACTTACTCCCAACCATAAGAACATGTTTAGACCATTAGCCAGTAGGAATATTCCTTCTTCTGAAAGACGGGACTCGGAACAACGAACAGCTGCAGGTAAACTTGTGCTCTTGACATCTAATGTGTGCTGGAAGCAAAAGACAAGCATGTTAGAAACTCCTCTCACCTCGCTTCTTCCTTTCTCCATTCCTTCCTTCTTTCCCACAGTGCTGGTGCCAGACATTGTTCTAGTCATTAGACAATACTTTCTACCTTGTGTAGCTAATATCTTTTAGAGGAAGGGAGTAAAAAATAAGCAAGGTAAGTACATTATACAGATTATATACCTATGATGACAAAATCCAGGAAGACATTGAAGCAGGAAAGTGAGATAAGAGTGGTAGGGATGGGAATATATGTTTCAAATATACCTTCTGTGAAGGTAGTTTCTGAGTGAAGACTTGAGGAGAAGAGAGCAGTAGCCATGGGGCTACCTGAGGAAAGAACATTCCAGGCAGAGGAAACAGGGCCAAGGCTCAGGTGAGAGCCTATCTGAGTTGTTTGGAGATCAGCAAGGAAGTCAGTAAGGCTGGAACAAAGTGAAAAAGAGAAGACTGATGGTGATGTTAAACAGGAGAGGAGGGGAGTACAGATAACACTGTGTTGAAGGGCAAGAGTTCTTGAGTATTCATAGTAGAGAAGTATTTTAACAAGAGTTAGCAAGATCATGGAAGCTTCTATGTTGTAAACAGACAGAGAGGCTGAAATGAGTGAGAAGGCTTGTTAGAAGGGTCCCAGGAGAGACAATTAGGCTTGAGCTTCTGGGTGAACACAAAAGAAAGTGAGAAATGGGCAGATAGTGGATATTCTTAGAAAGAAAGCTGACATTGCTGACAGGTGAGAAGTGGTGCCTAGGAGAAAGGAAGAAGCGTGTCTACAGGATTTCTGACCTCAAGAACCGAAAGGAGGGAGTAGTGATGAAAGGGAGGAGAAGACTGAAGAGGAAGGAGGCTGACGCAGGAAGATCAGGGGCTTGAGTGAAGAAGTTCATTTTATATCCAGAGAGTCACTGACATTCAATCGGTGACAGAGACAAACACATCTAGAGTTCAGGGTAGGCCTGGAGAGAAGACATGGGGAATCATTATTTTGTCAGTGTAATTGACAGCCTTAAGAAGAGATGAAATATCTAAGGTAATGAATGTATACTGAAAAGTGAAACAGACAGTCCTACCATAAAAGAAATTATTTACAACCTCAGAAAATCAATGGAAAGTCACCATGAATGAGAATCTACTCAAGGGTGGTGGTTTAGTTTGATTTTGGTTATGAAGGGAGCAAGACTTGGGAGAAACTGGACACTTTAGAAAACAGCAGAAGGAAAAAGGGAAATCAGATGCTAAGTGAATAAGGCATTTGAAGAGTGAGCGACACATTATGTCAATTGTTGCTGATGGGCCAGAAAAGACAAAGATCAAGAACTACCCATTGGACTTCAAGACATGGAGGCCAGTGGTGATCTCAGCCAGAGAATTTTAGCAGAACAGTAATGTTCCAGGTTCTCTGGTGTATAGATTTGTTTTGATAATCCATTTGAACTTTGCCCTATCCTGTGCCACGCTCATGATAGCTCGTCTCTATTGTTAACAGAGTTGCTAAGAGTTACAGTCAACTTGACAGCACCTAAAAACAGCAGCAGCATCTGGAAATCTGTCATCTGTAAAAATTTACACTTAATTTTGATATTGTTTAAAAGAATGGACAGTGTATTGTTTCTGAGCTAATATAGCAGTGAATGTATATCAGTGAGAGTCCAGGTATGAGTTTGGGTATAGATATTCAAATTAAGTTGATCAGATTTGCTCTCTCCTCACCCTCCATTATAACCTGTTAGAAATCAAGAGAAAAGAGCCTAGTTAAGAGTTCAGGGGCCTTCACCACGTGAAGAACTGACTCAATCTCTAAGGACAAGCACAACATAGAGGTGGTGGTGACGATGTCCTGGAGAAGGGGACATCCTGTGTCTTCATGATTGCTGGCTTCAGGTCAGTGTTGTGGATAAGATGTCAGCCCATCTCATTAAGGGTTTCCCTCACTTTTTGATGGCCCTCTACTTTTCAAAAAATACTGTTAAGTATCTTCAAATATATGTTGACTTTCAAAATTTTGATTCTATTTGGAGAAGGCTAATTACAGTCATTCTGGTTCAATGTAGGACAATTAAGATACACATTGTACAAAAGTAGACAAATATATCTACATACATAAGACCCTATACACAAAACTATAAATTGGTTCCATGCTTATAATGTAGATTTCTTGAAAACCAAAGTCAGCTTTCATTACTCACTTTTCAAACCTCCTACTCAAATGATGATGACTGATTTTAGAATAAGTAAAGAAAAAACAATCATCTAAACAATTCAGGGAAGTTAGAACCCCTCAAGTTCCTTTCCTCACAATGGAGGGATGCAACTTATTTAAGACTCTCTGTGCTAAATCCCACATCACAGACTTTGAAGGCACTCATGACCTCATATCTTGGGGATGGCACAGCCAGAGTGCCCTTTGGAGGCAAGAATGATGAGACTTCACCTCACGTACTTTGGGCAAGATGCTAGGAGAGGCTATTCCTTGGAGAGGGCCATGATGCTGGGAAAGGTGGAGGGTTGGTGAAGGAGAGGAAGACCCTCAACCAGGTAGACTGACAGGGTGACTGCTGTAGTGGGCTCTTGTGTGTCAGGAAGTGTGAGAATGGTGCAGGATGGAACACGGTTCAGATCTTTTGTTCATGGGATCGCTATGAGTTGCACTCAACTTGACAGCACCTAACAACAACAAAATGACCTCAAGCCTTAAGAGGAGAATAACAGGTCTCAGGTATAACATAGAAAAGTACAAATTATGAATTCCTTTCCAGATTCTTCGAGGAAATGCATCACCACCACATACTCACAATTGGCAGAAGTTGTGGATAGAAGAAAAGCTGAGAGTCAGCCACACCCATGGTCATGACCAGCTGTCTCTGAAATGCCCGTTCATCTGTTGAGATCTCTGGTCTGCTGAGCAGCACACAGCTTTTTAACAAACAATTAATGTACACTGGCAATACTTTCATGGATTCCGGGAGAATAAGCTGAAAAACAAACAGGTTATTTTCCCCTTTACCCTTTATTGATTTTATTAGTAGTGTTGAGAATATACATGGCAAAACATACACCAATACTACAGCTTCCACACACACGGAGTTTAATGATATTGATTACATTCTTTGAGTTAACATAACTCAGTGTGCCCTGGGCTTATTATTTAACATTTTGAGTGGCTATTAAGTTGTCAAAATTGGGAAGGGTGTGCATCAAGGATGTGTCCTATCTCCATATCTTTTCAATCTGTATGAGGAACAGATTATTTGGGAGGCTGGACTCTATGAGAAGTGTGGCATCAGAATTAGAGGTAGACTCATCAACAAATGTGACTCACAGAGACCCTATGTACAATAGTCCTGAACCCTGCTCTATCCTGTGCCAACTTGACTGTCTTCAACACACCTGCCCTCATTATCCCATTTACTGTATCAATCTGTCTCATCGATGGTCTTCCTCACTTTCTTTGCCCCTCCACCCTTCCAAGCATGATGTCTCTCTCCAAGGACTGGTCCCTCTTTGCAACATGTCCAAAGTATGTCAGAATAAGCTTCAGAATTCTTGCTTCTAAGAAGCAGGCCGGCTTTACCCTCCCTAGGATGAACCTGTTTGTTCTCCTGGCAGTCCATGGTACATTCAACACTCTTCTCCAGCACAAAAGCTCAAAGGCATCAATTCTTTTAACAAGAGGGGGGAAAAACAAACAAACAAACAAACAAACCCATACAAACTGGACATGACTAGGGATAACAGAAGAATTGATGGCTTTGAACTATGGTATGGAAAAAGAATATTAAATACCTAATAGACTTCCAAAAGAACAGACAGATGTCTTAGAGAAGGTGCAGCCTGAGTGCTCCTTGGAGGAAATGATGATGAAGCTTCATATCACATACTCTGAATATATTGCAAGGAGAAGTTATTCCTTGGGGAGGGAGCTCATGCTTGGAAGGTGGAGGGGTGGCAAAAGAGAGTAAGTCCCTTGGATTGACACAGTCATGGCAGCAATGGCCTTGAGTTTGTCAGAGATTAAGAGGATGGCACAGGATAGGACAGATCAGATAGCTGTACATAAGGTAGCTTTGAGTCGTACTCAACTCGATGGCACAACAACATACTGAAAAGAAATCTCCCTCAGATGCTTTTAGATTTCTCAATTTTAATCTTTTTACATCATAAAGAAATTTAATTAACAGATATTTATTATACTGTTCTATTAAGTAAGGAATGTGTAAGATAGAAATTTATATCTGGTTCAGGCAAATGTACTTGAGAACGAAGCTACTTGATAGGCTCTTTTTCTCTTCCTCTTCTAATATCTTTACTAATGGTAGTTTAAATGAGTCCTGCTAAGAAAAGAAAATGCTTTCTTCTCAGTTTCCTCTAGCATAAAATATTTTCCTTTTGGCAACACTTTGTGTGCAGTTACTTTCTCTACCAAATCAAGTTAGGATTTAAAATAGATGAAATGATCATTTTCTAGAGTGCCACAGCTTCAATATTAGTTGTTGTTGTTATGTGCCGTCGAGTCGTTTGCGACTTATAGCGACCCTTTTACCTATTATTGTGGGTTAACAATGTGTTTTTGAAAAACAAACCAAAAAAAGCTGCCATTGAATTGCTTCCGATGTATGATTACTGCTTGTATGTCAGAGTACAACCGCGTGCCACAGCGTTTTCAGTGACTTACTCTTCACTAGACCTTTCCTCTGTGGTGCCCCTGGGAGGGGCTCAAACCTATAACCTTTGCTTAAAGGCCCAGTGCATTATTAACCCTTTGTACCATTAGCCTATTTAGAAGCCTACTCACAGAGTTTTCTAAAACACATCTCACAATTTCACTGTCTGTTCTACGTTTTAGCAGGTCATATTAAGACAGTTTACAAATTTGTTGTTCAAAATACCACAAAGGGCAAGCTGTGACCATGATGTCACCATTAGGATTAATAATTGAGATTAAAGCAAATGAGAGGTAGAAGAGGGAAAACAGCAGAGTCAGTAAGAGGGAGAGGGGGTCACACTGACAATGAAGAAGAAAAAACTGAATGACTGTCAATGACACTCCTATAATCAAAGTGCTCTTTAATGGTCTTGCTTGGACCAAAGGTAGGAATATGGTTCAATCCAGCAGCTGCCCTGTGGAAGAAAGATGGGCAATCTCCTCCTGTGCAATTAAGTGCCTCTTGAAAATCCACTGGAGGGTCAGCTATGAGTCAGTTCTGACTTGCCACAATGAGTTTGAGTTTACAGTTCAGTAGCGTAATTCCTTTAAGAATTACTCATGGATATTGTTTCTTACACATGAACTGTGCGTGAATCCCATATATGAAGTGATAGTTCCTGACCATTGTGGCATTTGACACTCCAATGGCACAAGGTTCAGCATCACAGCAACCCCAGGTTACCTCAGCACAGCATACTGACAGAAGAGTGTTGTGCAACTTAGAAGAATGTTCTTCCAAAATGTAACAACGACTTTTAAATACAAAGGTCCTCCCTGAGGTCTTGTTGACTCTAAACAAGAGGCTTAAATAAAAACAAACAGCCTGAGATGTATAGCAAGCCTATGTACAGCAGCTCTGAAACCTTCCCTTTCCTGAGACAGTCTAACAAATTCTGACACACCAACCTCCATTGCCCCAGATACTGTATAAATCTATCTCATCTGAGGTCTTCCTCTCCTGAGCTGTCCCTCCACCCTTCTGAGCATGATGTCCTTCTCCAAGGACCAGTCTCTCCTGGCCACTTGCCCAAAGTATATGAGATGGAGTTTCAAAATCCTGTGGCTTTGTACAGAACATATTAATATATGTGAGTATATTGGTTGACAGTCACTACATTATATATAAACAAAAGAATGTGCCACTACTGTGACACATAAACAGGATTCTCTATTTCTTGGAAAGATGGACATATGCTTGTGAAGTATGTGTGCTTACATACTCTTTAGATATAGTAACAGTCAACGTTGACATAAGCTGATGGCAGTAGTAACAGTATGTTTTACAAATAGATGTTATTTATACATACAAATACTGGAATTATTTCTTTTTGAAGGTTATTAATAGTTATAAAGAGGCAATTTGAAAGTATTACGTTTGGGCAATCATTTAGGGTTTTTTTTAATCATTTAGTATTTTAAAATTTTAGCTCTTTTTTAATAAATCCATTTTGCCTCTCAATGTAAAAGAAAAAGTAAAACTTCATGTCTGTATTTCTGCATCTGTTCTCTGGTTTACATTCCTTCCTCAAATACATATATATGTATATGTATGTATGTATGCATATATATGTATAGAATATATACAATGTTATATATAATACATATATAATTTTTTCAGGAATTTATGATAATTACATGATGACTCAATTATAGAATTTTTAAAAACATTCTTATCATTGAAAAGTACACTTTCATAGCTCTTTAAATACTGTGCATGTGATTTGCTGTATGAAAAAATAAACAAAAAATTCATCATAAGAACAAGAAAAGCAAGACTTACCAGCAACTTTTTTCAGAGAAAATATATCATCATAGTAATTTCACTCCAAAAATAATTGGGTAAACAGATGGTGGAGCAGTAGAAACAGAGATTTTAACTCTTAAAGGAGAAGGAAATGGCTGGTTTGAGCTTCCTTTTCCTTAAATAGTCAACAGATTGGGTTTTGTTTTGTTTTTTTACTTACAGTCTTTGAATCCAATCTGTTTAACATTAGCAAATACATTTCCAGGGAAGATGTCACTGTACCTGTTCTCCTTCAACTAATCCTTATGAAGTGTGACATACTCCAGAGACAGGATATTGCTTCCAGATTGCTCAGACAAATAGTAAAACTGGAGTTTAAAATGTTCACCAGTCAACAATAGCCATGCTAGGTGCACCTGGTGGGTTTTGTGTAAATTCAACAAGAACCTTACGAACTGGCACTAATGTATGAAGTTAGTAACGTGACAGACATTCTGAATAGTTAAGAGGATAGACTACTCTAGATTTGAGAATTGCTCATATGATTACCAACACAGGAGACGAAAAATGTGAAATATCCAATCTAATTACTTGGAAAGCATAGAAAAGAATTTGTATGAAAAAGTCCAACCTAATAATTGTGGCTATTTCCCTTCTTAACCCAAAATATGAATATAGCCCCCAAATTTACTTCTATTACTTCTGCTGCTGAAAGCTGACTTTTTGGCGGGGTTTCAGATATGCTTTCAGCAGCCACTGTGGACAGACAATAAAAGATTCAGAAAGATTCCCCATCTGTTGTTAAGTGTCTCTCTTTTAATCAAATTGTATACTCAAATATTCAACACAACTGTGATAAATGATACTTCACTTTAACTGGCATGGGAAGGAATGTAAACCAGAGAACAGATGCAGAAATACAGACATCAAGTTTTACTTTTTCTTTTACACTGAGAGGCTAAATGGGATTTAAAAAAAAAAAAAAAAAAGCTAAAATTTTAAAATACTAAATAATTGCCCAAAGGCAATTCTTTCAAATTGCCTCTTTATTAATAACCTTCAAAAATGAAGCATTTCAATATTTGTATGCATTAATAACATCTGTGTATAAAACAAAGACTATTACATATTACCATTGCCATCAGCTTATGTCAACGCTGAGTGTTAATGTGTCTAAAAAGTGTGTAAGCACACATACTTTACAAGCATATGTCCATCTTTCCAAGAAAAAGAGGATCCTGTTGATGCATCATAATGTTGTTGTTTTTGTTGTTAAGTGCTGTCGAGTCGTAGGCGACTCATAGCGACCCTATGAAGGAGAGTCCTCAACGCCTGGGTGCCTTTCATCCTCTCTCCAGGTTCATAGGGTTTCCAGAGGCAAGCTATTATGGAAGTGGATGCCACTCCTTCTTACAAATGTGTCATAATAGTGACATATAATTCTTTTGTTTATATATAATGTAGTGACTGTCAACCAATATACTCCCATTTATTGTTCATACATCTTGTTATGTCATTAAGCAAATATTTTCTACATTGGCAAGAAAAATATTACAGCACAAAAAGCTTGCATTCTCAATATTCTTGCATATAAGGTTCACTAAAGGACTTCTATTTAAATGCTTGGAACATTACCAATTCTCAATAATAAGATATTCTGAAGGGATGAAGACAGGGATTTTTGTAGTTCTTTATTAGTACAATGGTTAGCTCACCTGGCTTACTGCAGAGGGATTTGCACAGTTCTTTCGGTAACAAGCTAACATATGGGCAGTCTGATTAACCAGAATTTCCCGGATGACCTTCAAGGGCTGGTGGAGAACTGCTTTAAAAGCTGTGTACACAAGACAATGAAAGAGGCATCAAAGTTTTAGCTCATAAATTAATTTTTTTAAAGAATCCATAACAAACCAACCAAACAAACCTCAAACTGATTATGTTTAGACTGCCCAGCAAGGAATAGCAGTGCTCAAAAATATAAAAAAGGAAAAGGGAAAATTAACATATAGGTAATAGAAAAAAATTAAGTAATTTCTTAATAGTCTTTTCTTAACTTTATAATGATTTAGCCAATGGAGAACAACAGCCTACCAAAAAGCAAAAGGTAGGCCCAGATTTATCCTCAAAATACTAGAAATACAATTTCACACACTGAGAAAAGAGTTTAGTTTGCTATCTTCTAATATCCTGAACCACTACTTCGACATTTTCACGTAGAATCTCTGGAGGAAAGCCAAAGGCAATTTAAGCCTTAGGGTTCACCTGTTTCATACGTGGATCACCAAGTTACTCACGTCTGTTATTGCTGTATACCAGAGAATTGGACTAGACACATAGCCGATCCTCTAGTGGTTTTTCAAGGCAGTTTAGTCACATGGCAGGAGACTGTGCATCTTTGTCCCACAGAGCAGCTGAGATTTGAACCACCAAGTGCTTTGGGGAGCTCCTTACCACTAGGCCACTAGAGCTCCCTTTCCTCAAGTTTAAGGACTATTTCCCCCGCTTATGTTTCACAAAGGACATTCAAATGACATAATAAGAGTCTAAGCATCATTTTCTGAAATTTCAGTTCCCCAACTGGGAAGACTTTTCAAAGAAAATGATATAGTTTAGGCCGATTTACCCAATATTAATCTAAAGTTTGAGACGTTGACCACTCCCCTTCACACTTTGCTGTGGTTAAGTTCTATTTTTTTTTCCTCCAAAAAGATGTGCCACTACCGGGCTTTGCATATAAACTCACTTGGTTACCAACAAGTCAGTCCTGATTCAATTACTAATAAGATACATAGTCCAGAGAATGAGCAAAATGTTACCTGACTTGGCAAAGAAGTTGATCAGAGCATCTGTCTCACAGCTCTTATAGAGATCGGCTAGTTGGGAGCTGCAGTTTAAACCAAGGTTGTGGATCCGGAGTCGTCTCTGGCCACTGATAGTTGTGTAAAGCACAGCACACTGCAGAGGCAACAGAAGGGTATATGGTTTTTGGTTAGCATGCTCCTGATCTTGTTTGCCCTTACAGTCAAGGGAGAACCGTTCTGTACAGCATGCACAGATAAAAGACATCTGCATTTTCCCACTAATTTTTTTCTACTATTAATCAAGGCCAAATGACAGTAAATATAGGAAGAATCATGACCAGTCCTTTTGTCAAGTTTTTGTGTAGTATTTTACTGATTTGAATTTCTGGGCTATTCACATCTAAATATCTGTTTGCATTTTTAGGAGCAATCTCCATTTCACTTATGCCTGGTTTTATTAACAGGTATCTAGTTCCAGAAACAATACGTCATGTATTCATGGCCTAATTGAGGCTCACTTCCCTCAAAAACAGTCACTGATCAACAGAGAAAGATGTAACCACCTGGCCAAATACCTGTGATTAAAACATCATTAATGGAGCTCTTCAATTCATGCCAACTTCTATCTTTTAAGGCTAGCATACATAATTTTTCATGGAAAATTTCCATAGCTTCTACTTAATTCTGTATATTACAAAATCAAATCCTATTTAGGTATGACTGCACTGGCGTCTGATGTGGTGTAAGACTGGCTGGCTGGCTGGCTGAAGCCTGAAAGAATTCGAACATGGTGGGAACCAGTGTGCTGCTGCCCATGATAATAATCACAAGGGTTTGGAGCTTTCGTATTATGACCAATTAATCATTACTTCATATAAAGTAGCACATGATGAATCTGACTATGAAACAAAATCATACAACCAGTACTCTAATGTAAGAACTCTGGAGAAACTGAATTGGGTCTTTATGAAAACACTAACACGTCTGATGGCATTTTAGCCACCTCACTGATCACTCACTGTCAGTTACAAACTAAAACGCCAGCATGCAGCTTCAGTCACCTGGATCAAGGCTCCACTGTCTTCACCAAGCTTGTCATCATGCTTGAACTCCACAGTTATGGCCTTGTCACAGTCGATGGCGGCCATTTCTACATCAGTGGTGTTGTTCATAAAAATGCCACCAAAGAAATCAGTGGCTCTGAAACCTGAGGGTGAGGAAAAAGAGCAGTTTGGCGTCTCAGAATATTTTTCATTTCTTTATTGCCTTGTTAGCGATTTCCAGGGGAAATGATCAGGTTTAATGATGACAATCAGGCATAAGTGATAGTTACCTGTGCTGGTTCGGACTCTCATAATAGCATCAAATCCTATTTTCTTCTCGATATCCTTTCTAAGATCGTTCAAAAACTGGTGGCTATCCAAGTGCATCTAGGAGGGGGGGAAAAGGCATGATCACTGCCCACCAGATGGCTCTAAACACACTTATAAGAACAATCTTGACTTTTAAAATTTGCTAATTCTGACTTACCACGTTATTGTCAGATGACATCAAATTGACTACAATTCATAGTGACCCTATGAAGAATGGATCTGAACCCTCCCCTGTCTGACTTCGTCTCACACACTTTAGACATGTGGTTAGGAGGGTTCCTTGGAAAGAACGTTGAAAAGGTAGAGGGTCAGTGAAGGAGGGGAAGACCTTCAATGGGAAGGAGTAATTGCTCATACATAAACGCATATCTTCTGGACCTCTGGTGGTCCAGTGGTTAGGAGGTGTGCAGCCAACGTAAAGGCATGTGGTTCAAATCCACTAGGTGCTCCTAGGGAGAAAGATAAACAATCTTCGCCCATCTGATTCACAGCTTCTAAAAACCCGCTATAGGGTCGGCTATTAGCTGGGTCTGACTCAAAGGCAATTAGTTGCTGTTTATTGATGTCTCTCTCCTATTTGTTAGATTAAACCAAGTATAGGATCTTCAGCCAGTGAGTCTTAGCTTCTCAAATTGAAATAAATTTCTTTCTTTATATTTTCACAACACTTAGAAATGTTTAGAGTTTAAAGGAATAACTGTTGTTGTTGGGTGCTATCCTGTCGAGTACAACTCATAGCCACCCTATCTTATTAACAAAAGATCTGAATCTTGTCCTGTTCTGTACCGTTCTTAGTTCTTATCATCTCTGACACACTTGAGCCTCTTGCTACACTCTTCAATCCATCTTATCAAGGGCTTTCCTCTCATTTGCTACCTTTCCAAGCATGATGTCCCTCTCCAATGAATAACGTCTCCAAGCAACATGTCCAAAATATGTGAGATGAAGCTTTGTCATCTTTGCCTCCAAGGAGCATTCTGGTTGTACTTTCTATATAACATATCTGTCTTTTCTTTTTGGCAGTCCATGGGATATTCAGTACTCTTCTCCAAAACCACAGCTCAAATATATATATATTGATATATATTTCTTCTGCTATCTATAATTCTTCTGCTATCCTTATTTACTGTCCCGGTTTCAGATGCACAACAAGTGACTGAAAAGATGATGGCTTGGATCAGGCACATCTTAATCTTAAAACATACATCACTGCTCCTCAGTACTTTGGAGAAGTCTCTGATATCAGATTTGCCCAGTGCAATACATCTCCTGAACTCCTGACTACAGGTACCAAAGGTGTTTACTGTGGATTGAAGAAAAAGGAAATCATTGACAACTTCAATATTTTCTCCATCTATTGTGATGTCCAGTGGTGAGGATTTTTGTCTTCTTGATGTTGAGATGCAATCTATATTGAAGGCTGTAGTCTTTTATCTTCTGTGGCAAGTGTTTCAAGTCCTATTCGCTTTCTACAAGGAAGGTTGTGTCATCTGCATACTGTAGGTTGTTAATGAATCTTTCTCCAATTCTGATCCTACGTTTTACTTCAGAGTCAAGCTTCTCAAATGCTTTGTTCAGTACACAAATTCAATAGGTTTGGAGAAAGGATACAATCTTGATGCACACTTTTGCTGATTTTAAACCAGACTGTTGTCCTTTGCTCTGTTCAGACAACAGCTTCTTGGTCGAGGTATAATTACATGTTCTGGGATTTCCATTCTTTTCAATGTTAGCCATAATTTGTTATGATCCACACAATCACGTGCCTTTGAATTGTCAATAAAACAATACTAGACATTCTTCTGGTATTCTCTGCTTTTAACCAGGATCCATCTGACATCAGAATTTTATTTCTAGTGTCACAGCCTCTTCTAAACCCATCTTGAGCTTCTAGCAGTTCTCTCTCAATGTACTATTCTAGGTGGTTTTGGATGATCTTCAGCAATAGTTTGCTTGCAAGTGATATTCATGATATTCTTCAATAATTTCTACATTCTGTTGGGTCACTTTTCTTGAGAATGGGAACAATTCTTCCATTCAGTTAGCCAAGTTGTGGTCCTCCAAATTGCCTAACATAAACTGGTGAGCCCGTCTAGAGCTGTATGTATTAGCTGAAATATGTCAGTTGGTATCTACTCAATTCCTCGGGATTTATTTTTTTGACAGTGTCTTCATCATAACTTGAACTTCTTCCTTAGTTACCACTGGCTCTTGTTCATATATTTCTTGAAATTTTTCAGTGTCAACAAATTATTTTTGATACAGTTCATTCCTTCTATCTTCTTTTGATATTTTCTGGATATCCAAGATTTTTAACATAGCATCTCTCAGTATTACAGCTTCAGGGTTGAATTTAGTTTTCAGTTCTTTGAACTTGAGAAGCGAAAGGCAAGTTCTTCCCTTTTAATGCTCCAGCTCCCATTCTTTGCACATTCCATTATAATACTTAGTTTTAGCTACTTGAGAGTTGACCTATGAAATTGGATCACCTCTTTTACTACTGTTTCTCCCCTTTGTTTTGGCTTCTTGACACTCTTGGGCAATTTTCAGAGTCTTTTCTAGCATCTGTTTTGGTCTTTTCTTCCTCCTCTGTCTGTGTAATGACCTATTAGCTCACTTCATATGAGGTCCATGTGTAAAGTCACCTTTTGTGCTTTTAAAAAATGTATTTGCAATGAATAAACTATTGAATGTATAGAATTCATTCTATGTCTAGCCTCATTCATCAAGAAGACTGTACTTTACGCCTACTATTCCTTCCTCATTGTTTCCACCTTGTATTTTTTTTTTTAATGTCAGAAACTACACAGGGTTACCACATAACAAAAATCTTTACCAGAATCCATAAAGATAAAATACTTGGATGAGTTCATTGCATACACACAATTTTTAGCATAGCCATTAAAGCTAAGTTACCTGGGTGTAGAAAAGCACACCAATACATAGCTTTGTACTCTAGCAAGTCTATGCTAGCCATATATGCCATGATTTTGATAATTAAGAATAAAGCCTATAAAGTACTTTTTGAGAAAGGGAAAAAGTTTCAGGTAAAATGTATATCCTTAATTAGGAAGTGGCAAGCAAAATATACTTTGCTGAATCTCCAACTCCAGATTATGGTCCAAATAAGGTCAAATTCATTAAGAAGTCTGGTTTTCAAAACAAAACTCAAACTCAACACTCCCAAAATAATTGAGGAGTATCCTCAACAAGATGGAAAAGTGCAATGACTGCAACAACAGCTTTGAACCTGACAGAGATTGTGAGAGTGGCACAGGATTGGGAAAGGGTTTAATTTATTTTTGTTGTTAAGAGCCCTCAAATCAGCTACAACTCATAGTGAACCTACGAACAAAAGATCTAAACTGTCTTCTATCCTGTATCATTCTCACCATCTCTGATATACTTGAATGTATTATTACAGTCTGTGTCAACCCATCTTGTTAGGACTTTTCCTCTCTCTCTCTGACTACCACGTTTCCCAGCATGATATATTTTTTCCAAGATATGGCCCCTCTTGATAACATGCTCAAATACGTAAGATGAAGTGCCATCATTTTTGCCTCTAGGGAGCACTCTAGTTGTATATCCTCCGAAGCAGACTTGTTTGTTCTACTGGCAGTCTATGGGATAAACAGTACTATTCTCCTAGACATTTCAAAGGCATTGGTTTTAATTCTGCTGTCCGTATTCATCATCTAACTCACAGATGGCTAGAAAGTGAATGAAAATATCATGATTTGGATCAGCTGCACCTTAGTCTTTAAACTGACATTCTTGCTCTTTAGCACTTTGGAGAGGTCCTTCACAGCAGATTTTCACAATGCATCACATCTTCTGGTTTATTGAGTGCTATAACCATGAGAGTTGATTGTAGAGCCAAGTAAAATGAAATAATTTCCAACTTTAATCTTTGTTCCATCTATCATAATGCTGCCTATTCATTCAGTGAAGAATTCTCTTTTCTAGATGTTGATGTAATCCATACTGAAAGCTGTAGTCTTTGACCTTATGAAGCAAATGTTTCAAGTCCTCTTGACTTTCTGGAAGCAAAGTCATGTCATCTGTATAATGCAGGCTGTTGATGAGTCTCCCTCCAATTTTGATGCCATATCCTTCTTCACACAGTCCAGCTTCTTGAATTATGTGCTCAGCATACAGAGTGAATAGGTATGGAGAAAGGATACAATGCTGGTGCACACCTTTCCTGATTTTAAACCATGTAGTGAGTCAGGACTCATCGGGAAGGCAGGGCCACTATTAGGACTCAAAACGCCAGCTCAGTGGTACCTAACAACAATAGTGCTTTCTAAAATGTGTCTTAAATAACCTACTTTAATGATTTAAAAATTTAAAGATTTAAAAGATTAAGAGAGATTTTAAAATGGGATGCTATATTTTTAATGTTAATGGATTTGCAACCTCTGCTGTTACCAAATCTCTTAATGTTGTTGTTGTTGTGTACCATCGAGTTGGAATACCCCTCCATGGCTGACCCTCCAGGATGTTTCCTATCTGCCTTTATTTTCATACCAACTGCCCGCCAAGGAGCACAGTTTCCTTAACCTAAGCACTACAAGTAGGATGAAAATAGAAAAGTGAGATGAACAAATTGCTGCATTTACCTGGAAATTGTTGTATTTGTAGAGGGTTCCTCCAGTGAGCTGAGGAACAAGACCCAAAGAGGCCACGTCCGCGTACTGACTGGGGAAGAGGAAGAGGGTCACAGAGCAGCCGTGAGCCACGCAGTCCTTCGCCAGAGATTCATAGACATTTGTTTGAGGCTGAAAAAGGATCTGAAGGAAAAGATACAAAAGAGGGGTAATATTATAAAATTGTGGCTTAAAATTTACATTTGTATTGAATTCCCATGGAATTATTAAAATGAACACATACACAGAGATACATTATGTAAACTGGGCTAAAGACATAGGGTGGAGTACTCAACAAAAGCCAGCCTGTGGCAGGCTTGTGCCATGGAAAACATACTTATGCAACTCAGTTCGACCCACAAGCAACCCTAACGACGCTATATTCCTATCTTAGTTTCTGTAGAACTAACTAAATTAAGTTCACAAAATTAGTAACTTTCGTGGTGCCATGTAGCCAGTAGTTTAATGCCTACATCCATGCCCTTATCCTTCACATTGACTTTCCTCCATTGCTACCCTCCTGTCAGAGGGCTTGAACAAAGCTTTATTTTGAGCAAAAGGAACAGAAAATCAATTCATATCACAGAACACTGCCTCAACAGTATCTGTCATATGGTAGAATCTATAGTCTTTTCTCCCTTCATTTCCCCCTGCTTTCTTAACTTCAATTAACAGCCTTATCATTGGTCACTTTTACATGCATTACACATGAAAAAATTTGGGCTTCATTTTCATTTGGGTATTTCTGGACCATAGATTTTCTAGACACATAGACTTTCTTGAATTATTACCCATGTATATTCTTGTAATATACAGTTCCCAGACTTGGACAGTAGATGTAGCCTCTCTTCTCTGCCTACCATTCACCATGCTACACTTTGACACAAAGGACAAAGTCTGTTTATTCTTTTTTAACAACTGGCATAGGGGTACCTCAAAGGGCAGTTGTGTGCAAAGTACCTTTTCTTTGTCTGTATTGACCAGCTTTCTGTCATCTCTGTTTTTGAGCTTCCCAGGAGCTTCTGCAGTGGGCAAGGAGGAATGGAAGATGAACAGCTTCCCAGGACATTCTGCTGCCTGAAATAGATCACAGGGAATACTTGGGGCGAGAATGTTTTAGGGGAATAAGCAAGCGAGTTAAAACAGAAATACTTTCTGTAACTGGAGAGGGATGTCATGCTTGGGAGGGTGGAGGGAAAGTACAAGAGAGGAAGACCTTTCATGAGATGGATTGGCTCAGTGACTGGGGTAATGAGGGTAGGTGTGTCAGAGAGATAAGGCTGGTTCAGGATAGAGCAGGGTTCAGGACTATTGTACATAGGGGTCACTATGAGTCACAAGTGATGTAACAGCTCAACAGCAATAGCATTTATCTCATTTAATTCTTACAGTAACCTCTGTGTCCTTGGACAGTCACAAGGCTCTCCATCTCATAGATGGAGAAACAGAGGCTTAGAGAAGACAAGTAATTTCCAAAATTCATGCAAGCTGTAAATGAAACAGCTGACATCTAAATGTAGGTGTAAAAACCACAATAGTTTAACATGTTACCGCAAATGACGGTAATACATTGAAAAAAAAAATGTGTTTCTAAGCATGGTCATCATTTTAAAAGTGTGTGGCAACGTGTTAAAGAACTATTATTATGTTGTTGTTAAGTGCTGTCGAGTTGTAGAAGACTCATAGCGACCCTATGAACGAAAGACCTGGACACCTGTGTAACTTTCGTCCTTTCTCCAGGTTCATAGGGTTTTCAGAGGCAAGGTATTTTGGAAGTGGATGCCACTCCTGCTTAAGTTATAGTAAAATTATTTCTTCTTTATCTTATACTATAATATTTAAGGATGAAGTGAACCTGTAATAGAAAATTAGATAATTCACGGACCATTATGCAATAAAGCGCACTAATGCTGAATTAATTTTGACTCATAGGAACCATTCATTTGCTTTCTGAGGGTGTAGCTCTTTATGGGAGGAAACTGCCTATCTTTCTTCAACGGGGCAGCTAGTGTACTTGAACCACGGACTTTTCAGTTAGAGTGCCACATGTAACATATAAAACCACCAGAAATCCTTGAAATAGGAGCTCTTAATTCAGCTCCTGAGTGAATCCAAAATTACATTTCAAGAGAGGATGCACAAGAAAGTAACAGTGGTATGGCAACAGGGATACCAGAATGACAAAGGAAAAACATGTGAATCAGATTATGAACCTTTAGATTCTTGGAATTAATCAAAGATTTCAGGCCTCACTGAAGTCAATTCAGCATTAAGAATATCTAAAATCATATTTGTGGCAAGAAGCTGTGTTGTACTGTGCTCAAAGGCACGTGCTTCGAATCCACCAGCTGTTCCACAGGAGAAGGATGGCCGATCTCCCTCAGTGCAATTAACCACCTCTGAAAACCTGCTGGAGGGTCAGCTGTGGGTCAGTTCCTACTCACTGGTACTCACCACCACCACCACCACCATTATCATCATCATCATTATTTAAGGAATTAAGAAGTAACCTACCAAGAAAGAGTGACTGAAATGAAATATAATTCACTCTATCAGCCTGTTCCCCCAAATCTTTTTCCAACCCACTCTATATACTGTTGTTAGAGCACATTTACAAAGGACAGCTGTTCTGACCATGTGGTTTTTCTCCTCAAGAATCCAACAGACATGCTATCACAAGGTGAGGTCCAGGTGTCTTCATTGGCATGGGAGCAGAGGAGGAAGAAGGGAGGTGAGCTGTTCAATATTTAAGCCGTGCCGTTCCATGCAAAGCCCTTTACAGAGGTTTTTATACTTAACCCTAGAAGCAGACAATATCATCTGTATTTTAAGGATGAGAAAATTGAGGCTCAGATCACAAATGTGCCTGGGTCACACAGCCAATAAATATTAGCTGTGAAGTTCAGTCTAAATCTATTTTTCCAATTTAATGTCTAACATTTCCTTAATCTGACATTCCTTGGACTAGAAGCTGCGGTCAAATATTTATTTTATTGGAATATGCCAAGTGTTTTGTGTGCACAAATCTCCATATTTTTGTATATTTTGTTCCTTCACCTGCAATTTATTTCTCTTTACTCCAGTTGGAGCTTTTAGTTTGCAGTGGCTGGGTTCAGTGACACACTGGTCCCTGGGGAAGTGGTATGAAGTTTTGTAATAGTAAGGTATTTAGGTTCGTGAATAACTTCCTTATAAAAAAGGCAAGGGGGGGGGTGAGGCAGCACAGGGTGATCAAGTCAACAGAAAACATATAGCACAAAAGTTAAAGATACAATTTCTTAATTTATTCATTTGTTGATGCATAATTTGGGCTGTTTACATTTTCTTGCTATTGTGAATAACGCTGCTATAATGCTGTGTACAGATCTCTGTTTCTATCTCAGTTCTGTTTTCCTTGGGGTATATTTCTAGCAGTGGAATAGTGGAGTCATATGGAATTTCCATGTTCAGCTTTTTGAGGAAATGTGGGTGACTGTACTATTTTACAATCCTACCAGCAGTGTGAAGACTATGAGTCGTGCTCGACTTGATGGCAATCAACAACAACAATCAGCAGCAGTGTATGAGAGTTCCAGTCTCTCCACAGCTTCTCCAGTATTTACTTTTTGCTTGCTGTTCTGTTAAACTTTGCCACTGCTACTGGGGTAAGATGGTAGCACATTATTGTTTTGAATCTCTCTTACTGCCAGTGATTTTGAGCATTTATTCATGGGTCTGTCGGCCATCCGAATGTTTTCCTCTGTGAAGTCTTTCCTGTTTTGTAATTGCGTTATCAGTCTTTTTCTTGTGGAGGCTCCGTAGGATTCTGTAAACTTTCATTATGAGACTTATATCTGAAATGGTATTGCCACATGTTCTTTTCTTCAGTCAGTAGGTTTTCTTTTCACCTATTGGAAAATGTTTTTGATGCACACAGGGACTTGATCTTTACAAGATCTTATTTACCGATGTGATCCTTTCCTGTTTGTGAATTTCTGGCAGTTCTGTCAGCCAAGCTATGCCATTGGCAAGGCTCCTAAGTTTGGTGCCATTATGTTTCTTATGATCTTTATCATTTGGGGCTTTACCTCTATATCTCTGATCCACCTTGAGTTGATTTTTGTGTATTGAGAATACCAAGGAATAACCGTTCCTAACAACATGCCCGAAGTATGTAAGATGCTAGGAGAGGCTATTCCTTGTAGAGGGACATCATGCTTCAGAGGAGGAGGCATGGTGAAGGAGAGAAAGACTCTCAGCCAGGTGGACTGACACAGTGACAGCACAATACGGTCAAGTGTGTCGGAGATTGTGAGGATGGCACAGGATAGGACAGCGTTCAGACCTGCTGTTCATAGAATTGCTGAGTCATACTCACCTCCAGGATGGCATCTAACAACAATTACTTTGTAGCTTAGGTCTGCAAATCTTATTAGTGCAGCACAATGATGGTACTCCTTCCAGTATCGTTTGGTGAATGTTACTGCTGTCGTTGTTAGGTGTTGTTGAATTAGGTACAACTCATAGCAACCCTATTGACAATCAATCTGAACACTGTATTACCCCGTGCCATCCTCACAATCTCTGGCACATTCAAGCTCACTGCTGCAGTCACTGTGCCAATCCACTTGGCTGAGGGCCTTCCTCTATTACACCACCCCTTCATCTCCCAAGCATGATGTCCTTCTCCAAGGAACATGCCTTGAAGGAGTACTCTGGTTGCACCTTCTCTAAGATGTATCTCATTCATTGGACAAATTTCATTTGTTCTTTTGGTAGTCCACAGGATCTTCAGCACATTTTCCCAACACCACAACTGAAAAGCATCAATTCTTCTGTCATCCTTAGCTCTCGGATGCATCATAGTGAATGACTGAAAAGACCATGGTATGAATCAGGTGTGCACTTTTGTCCTCAAAGTGACTTTGATGAGTAGGAACTTTTGTGGGTTCCCCCGCCTCATTTTTTTTACCTTTTATTCATTAGTGGCTCTGTGGAAAAAAGATGAAGCAGTTCCCTCTTTAGTATTTACAACCTTAGGAAACAGACTGTCTCCACAAGTTGGAAAGGACTCAATGGATACGAGTTAGGCTTGAGTATGGCAGAGATTTAGATATTGTGGTGGTGTTGAGTACCAGTAAGTTGGAACTGACCCATCGCTGACCCTCCAGCATGTTTTCAGAGGCAGTCAATCGCACGGGAGGAGACTGTCCATCCTTCTCCCATGCAACAGCTGGTGGATTTGAACTGCATTCCTTTGAAATTGCAGCACAGCTTCTTACCACTAGGCCACCCTCTCCATTAGTAAAAATCAACCAGTAGAAGCCATTTCTCACCAACTGTTTGCTAAACAATCATGCCAAACTGTGCTTTATCTAGTATCATGCTAGAAGCAATGGCTACCTTGGAAAACTGATCAAGATGGCATGTACCCAAAGTTCAGTTGTGAGTGTCATATTTTAAAAGAGAGAAGTACTGAAATATTATGTGGGAGAAAAGCCAGACTACTAGATACTGTGGACACGAAAGCATTTATAGCTGAGAAAAAAAATTTATAGCTGTACCAAAGCGATTGGGTGATTGTTATAAGAACTCTGGAGAAACACATAAGAAACACAGAAGAACTTGGCACACAGCCCTTGTATGTTTGATTAGCAATGATTTTTGCTAGTTTTTAATCTATCTTGTTTGTTTCAAGAAGTTTACTACTACTAATTATAGAACAGACTTTATTGTGCATCAATCTGATAAAAGTAGTGCTATAATTCAAATGAGGGAGTCCAGTTCTAAAATGTTTTCATTTGGATACACAATAAGAAGAGTTTCACTTTGATGTTCTTTCAGCTTCTACTCCCTGCCTGCATCTCTGACCTTCTGTGTAGAATACCCTATTGATTTGGTTCCACAGACACAGCAGTGGCTTTCCAAAGTTGCTGCACGCCCGTGCTCCTTTCTGAAATATAAGCACTGAGCATTCTACTATGCTTTGTCTTACAGAGTTACATGTCTTTCACCATATTGTAAGCCACTAAAAAGCACGGGCAGGAGTTCCTACACTGCCTTTGAAAAGATTAGTGCTGGGTTAAAAAAAAAATCAT